AGAAAAAAAATTTAAGAGAAATATAGAGGTTATGCGGAAAAGAAAGAAAGAGAGAAAAAAGATAAGAGAAAAGGAATAAGAGAAATAAGAAGGGTATATACATATATGTATACACATATATATATATATATATATATATATATATATACAGGTTGAGTGGCTGTTAAGAGAAAAGGAAAAAGGTAGTTGTCATTCTCTCTCATAAGTGAAATCATTACTGATGTCATCTATTTCATATTTTTCTAAGAAAGTAATTTGATTTTTTTCTCTTTTCTTCAAGTTTTAGACAAAGAAAATGTTGTTTCTTTTTTGTTCTGAATTTAATTCTTGGTGGATTATCTTGTACTTATTTATGTTAATAGTAAATTTAATTCAAAAATTGACCCGTAATTTTTTTTATCATACTGAAGGGTTTTTTATGTAAAATTCTGAATTTATTTAATTTTGCAGTTATTATCTACTTATTATTTTTTACTCAATTGTGCATTAATTTAGTTTGGGGTTATGGTTATTAGTTCTTGCTAATTAATTTATGATTGACTTAATTTACACAATTAATTATCTTTATTTGGGACCCAATATTTGTTTCGTCTTTATTAAAAATTAATTTTAGACAAGGTTAGTGAGTATGTGCTTGATCATGCTTTCAATCAATCCATGTTTTCCATCTCTTCTAATGCATTATCCTTTCAGTCTATCTCTCATCACATTTTCTATCAAATTATTTTTACTAATTATCTTTTATGAAAAACACAATTTCTTTCTACCTTAACTATCAAAATCTTACAAGTTATATTGTTGGCTCTTTGCCCTTCACTTGCAAATAATTATTGATTCGGATGGTTGCTCTACTTTTGGTCTTGAATATGCCATTTAATTTTAAAAAGACAAAAGTTCATGGCCTGGTTGCTAACCTTACTATCAGAAGAGTTATTTCCATATGTCATTGTCCTTGAGACTCTCAACAAGTATGAAATGCTCTTTATAAGGTCTTTGGTCTATACTTTAAGTGCATAAACTCTAACTTTAATGTTACATGAGTCTTCAAGAATTGTAATGAGAGAAAAAAATTGTCTCTCAATGCCTCAAAGAAGTCAAACTCATTGCAAATGAACTTAATGCTACGACAAACCTCTTTCAACTATAGAATTTAGCATAATCATATTTTATAATCTCAAATCATATTATTATTTTCTCATTACTACTATTATTTTAAGACTAGATGCTAAGTATTCTCATGAGTTGCATGGTCATTATGATACTCATGAAATACTTGTAAAATTTATTTCTGAACTATATTGTTAAATTGTTATTAAATATCTCAACCTCAAAACTCAAATTCTTAATTATTAACAAGTTCAAATTTCTATCACAATAAGAAAAAAGAACCACATCAAATGTTATGCAGTATGAAAAATCAATTTGAAAAATAAAAATTGAAATGATTAAAATGTGATTCTTAAAATGCATATATCTTTTATTATTCTGTCTTTTAGAATTCAGCAATTAAATGTTTTTATAGAATCTAGTAATTATATAAGAATGTCTCTTAGTATGACCTAGTAATTGAGAACAATTTAGATGTGTCTCTTAATTTACTTATTGTATCTGTAAATATTCGATTGTACTTGACATTTCAAAACAAGTAAGAAACATGGTTCTCTTCTTATGATTGTTTTTCTCCAACGAAATAGTATTAGAGTCAAATTCTTTGACATTGAGAGAAGAGTGCGAAAAGAATTGAAAGATGGCCAACAATACAGTTACTTTCTTATAGTTCCCTTGCCTTACAAAAAAGAATTATGAGAAGTGGTCTATACGTGAAAACCTTGTTTGGCTCTATGGGAAAGAAGCCTTAAAATGAAGAAGATTTATCTCTTGAGAAGCAAGCTTTATCTAAGTCAGGAAAGAAGGATCAACAAGCCCCATCTCTCACCCATTAATGTTTTGATGATTCAATGTTTAAGAACGCGACTGATGCTTCAACTTGAAAGAAAGCTTAGAATATTCTAAAAAAGTCTTTCTAAGGTATGGGAAAAGGTGAAGAAAATGAAACTTCAATCACTAAAATAGTAATTAAAAGCTTTGATGATGAAAGAACCCGAACTAATCTTTAATTGTTGTTCATATTGGAGATAGGAGAAAGAGACTAGAGGGACTAATGAGAAAACTCAAGTTTTTCTATTGTGGTTCTTACAAAAAAGCTTCAAATACATGTCTATTTATAGACACTATTACAACTACTAAAATTAATTATAACCACCAACAAACATAATAAATCTAATTTATGACTCACAACTATTACCAAACCAAAAGATATATAGAGACTCTAATTTATGAAGTTCAACTACTAATAAACTAATTAATTATATTATAATTTATAAATTAATTTTTAACACTCCTCCTTAATTTGTAAATCTCCTTTTCAATCCAGGATTAGCCCGTAGCTTTTGAAAGACTTCAAACTTGAGCGGTTTGGTGAAAATATCCGCCACTTGATCTTCAGTCTTTACATGCTTAAGCTCCACTTCTTTTTTAACAATGCAGTCTCTAATAAAATAATATCGGGTGATGCAACATTAGTTGGAGAATGAAGTGGAGTTGTCTCTTACAAAGGTATCGTGGTCTC